GATATGCTTAAGTTACTAAAAATTTGTTTCTTAAATCTCGTCTGCTGCATAAACGTCCCCTGGAGCACTTCATGTAATTCTGACACTCAGATCATTATCTCAAATTAAGTAACTCTCTTTGGGGTGGGCTGCTGAATCAGTACTTTAACAAAATCTACATGAAAGTTTTATGCAGGCTGAAGTTTAAAAGCTAGTTGTAGTAACAAATGCAAGGGAAGCACAGAAAAGAGTTGAGGAACACAGAAATACAGCTAAGAATCACGTAGGGACAGAAGATAAGGAAATGAACCATTTCTAACTGGAGTTACCGATGAGAGACAGAGAAGGAGCCCAGGCAATTACTGAAAAATATAGTGGCTGTAGATTTTTCATTTTGGAAGGAAAATATAAACAGATAAAAAGAAATCTTAGGTACAATGAACCAGAGAATTACCAATGGTAAAAAGAATATCTTAACAGCAGCCAGAGGAAAAAAAGACAGGTTATCTTTTAAGCAATAGTTCTCAAACTTGAAGTTACATGAGAGTCACCTGGAGGTCTTGTTAAAACACACTGTAAGAAACAAACCAAGCCTGGGGATGGTGGCTCACACCTGTAATCCCAGCATGCTGTGATTTGGCCTTGGGAGGCCAAGGCAGGTGGACCACTTGCACACTTGAGTTTGAGACTAGCCTGGGCAACACAGTGAGACCCTATCTCAAAACAAAACAAAACAAAACTAAAAACACATTTCTAGGCCCCATCCCCAGGTTTCTAATTCAGAAGATCTGAGGTGTGGGGTCAAAGAGTATGTATTTTTAACAAGTTTCCAGGTGATACCAATGCTGCTGGTTCTACCCCCCAAGAACCACTACTTGGCCAACATGGTGAAACCTCTCTACTAAAAATACAAAAATTAGCTGGGTGTGGTGGTGTGTGCCTGTAATCCCAGCCACTTGGGAGGCTGAAGCAGGAGAATTGCTGGAACCCAGGAGAGGCAGAGATTGCAGTAAGACAATAATGTCACTGCACTCCAGCCTGGGCAACAAGAGGGAGACTCTGTCTCAAAAAAAAAAAAGGAAAGAAACAAACATTAGACTGACAGCTGATTCCTCATTAGCAACAGTGGAAGCCAGAAGAAAATGGAACATCTTCATAGTTTTGAAATAAAATATAAAATCCTCTAACTACCAAAAATGTCCACTGAGAAAGAGGGAAAAACAGTATCTTTGGGCTTGCAACCCACAGAAAAAAGACATCATAAAAGACATATTTCAGGGAGAAAGAAGTAATCAAAGAACCAAAGCAAAGAGTGTAAGAATCAAGTGCTCAAAGTGGCAAATGTGTGAGTATAAGGAAATAAGAAATGACGGTATGTAATAACAATAATAATTTCTTGAGGTTTAAAAAAGAACTAAATATGTGCAACTATGATGTATCAATAAAAAAAAAATGCATATAAGAAAACCATGTAAATCAGGAGAGTAACATATATCCAAATCTAGATTTAATGAGCAAGCATGGGTAAGAATTGTTTAGAACCACCACTGGAATAATAGAGTAAATAAATTCAAAATGTACAGAAAACAAAAAAAGGGACTGACAAAAATATGCAAAAGAAGCCAGAGAAAAGAAACAATAAAAGACAAATGTAACATTCAAATATATTAATACAGAAGATAGTAATGGAATAAATGCTTTAACTAAAATACTAATATTCACAGAATAGATTAATCCAATTACATGCTATGTACAAGAGACATCTAAAATATAAGAATGCAGTAAGAATGGAACTAAAATAATATATAAGGCAAGTGAAAAAAAAGAAAGCTGGTTAGTATCAGAATAGATTAAGGCAAAAAGGCTCATAGAGAAAAACGAAGTATTACATAATGAAGTTATAAACCAAGAAAGAGGTGTGTGTGTATAAAACATAGCCTCAAAAAAATGAAAACATAAAAATAAAAAATAAAGGGACAGAACGCTGAGGAGAAATGGATGAAGCCACCACCAGAGCTCTCACAAATACAGTTCAAGCAGGCAATTCAATAACTACATGCAGACTGAACATGATGAAATAGCATTTCCTAACTATAAATTCCAACCATGCGAGGCCATGTTTATCTCAGAAAATGCTTGACCACAGAGCAATGCAGTTAGCAAACAATGGCCAAAAGATAACAAGGAGAAATGTCTCAGAAATGAAAATTAGAAAAAAAAATTCTAAATCTGCATGCCAAAGAAGCCATGATGTTTGATATTTAGAATTAAAATACAATGAAGTATGATACTGCAATTCTTTGGGATGTGACAGGCATTCAACATAAGAAACTGGAAAGAAACATCCCAAAAATGAAGAAAATGATAGCAATCAGAAAGTTATAAAATAGAAAACATATATATATCATAAAATGGTTCAATCAAGCCAGAAGTTCTTTAAGAAGGAAACTGACAACATTCGGATGGAATTTATTTTTGTAAAAAGCAACATATAATTATTACAAATAAAAAAGTGGATAACATTACAAATGTAGCAAGCATTAAAAATATGAATATATTATGAACAACTTTGACTATACAATTTAAACCTCAGATGGAATAAATTCCTAAAGAAATTTTACTCATCATAACACAAAAAACCTGGATGCCCCACAACCCTTAAAAAAACAGAAACAATAGCTTTAAAACTTTCCACAAAGAAAACTCCAGACCCAAATGGTTTTTGCAGGTACCACTCCCGTTCTAAGGTACAAATGATTCTATTCTTATGCAAAACATTCCAGAGTTTAGAAAAGAGAACACTTCTCATCCCATTTTATGAGGCTGGCATAAATCTGAAATAGAAAAGGAAAATTTCACTCAAGCATAGATCCAAAAACACCAAACAAAATATTAGCAAACTGAAGCCAAAAATAACAAATTGTAACATGTCCTTCCCAAATTAGCTACCAATATAAATTTAATGTAACAACATAAAATCAATTGGTTTAATTTGCCACACTAAAGGATAAAAAACAAAATTGTATTATTCACTCATTCATTCATTACACAGCAGTACCAAGTGCCATCATTTAAAGTACTTGAAATGTATCAATAAACAAATACAAAAGTAGAGGGTGAGAAAAAAAAAATCACTTGTTAAAAGCCCGCAGCAATTCACAAGAAAAAACTCAAACAGGAAAAGAGGGAAGCTTTCTTGGCCTAATAAAAACTATCTTAGAAAAGTCTTTGGCAAACACAAATGACAATTCCCTTTAAGATCAGGAAAAAAAACAGGTCTGCCTAGAATGTGCCATCCAAACTCCAGTCAACGACAATGGAAGTCCCCAGCCAGTCCAGCAAAGAAAGAAAATAAACAATTTATCTTCTGTATAAAATATTTACATTTCCTTTTAAATTGTGTACATTTTCTTGTCTACGAAGAACTTCGAAAAAACTACATAAAAGTTAGACTTTTCTGAGCACCAAAAAACAAAGCTCCTAAGACCAAATATAACAAAAACAACTTAAATCCTTTTTGAAGGTACTTATAAAACTTTATTGAGCCAGACATAGTGCCTCACCCCTGTAATCCCAGCACTTTGGGAGGGCGAGGCAGGTGGATCACCTGAGGTCAGGAGATCAAGACCAGCCTGGTGAACATGTTGAAACCTGTCTCTACCAAAAATGCAAAAATTAGCTGGGCGTGGTGGTGGGCACCTGTAATCCCAGTTACCCATGAGGCTGAGGCAGGAGAATAGCCTGAACCCAGGAGACGGAGGCTGCAGTGAGCCAAGATTGTCACTGCACTCCAGTCTTGGCTACAAGAGTGAGACTGTCTCAAACAACAACAACAACAAAAACAAACAAAGCTTTATTGAAAGGCATCAAAGAAGATGTAAATAAATGATGTAAATCAATTAACTGCAACTCAACGGCATAAAAACGGCAATATTCTCAAAGTTGAAATATAGATTCACCACAGCTTGAAAACTAAAGCCACTATGTGGAACTTGGTGAACTAACTATAGAATTTAAGCCTGGACATTCCTGAAAAAGAATGGCTAGGTGTAAGTACTTCATCTACAAGATATTTAGAAATCTCTAAATTACAAAGGTGTGCTTGCATCCATATGGAAAAAGATTGTTTCCAAAAATACTGCAGAGCCTGAGTTCATTCACTAGTAATTACCAAAATCAGGAAATTTATTTTCTGGAAAAGATGTATAAGCAGTCAAATCCCGAGCAAATATTGGTGGGAGAGGAGGATGCAGTTTAGAAAAGCCACACAGCTTCCTGAGATTTAATAGTCTCTTTCTTGGCTTGGTTTGTAGATTCACTTCACGGTTGTACTTTTAACTGCGTGTATGTTTGTGTGTGTGTAATCATACTTTTGTTTTGCATGTATGTCCTATTTTCCAGTGTTAATATATTTTCACAGTAAAAGACATAGCACAAAATAACACGGTAAAATTCAAGTACGACTGGACTAACTCTCAAGTTAATTAACAAAATGTTGAACTGAGTAGTAATCTATGTATAGGCTATTTACAAGAGTCCACTAAAATTAAAATAAATAAAAAAGTGCAACCAGAAGGACTTAAAAGTACAAAAGGTACTCAAGGTAAATGCTAAAAAGAACACCAGTGTGCTGACATTCACATAAGATAAAACTGGCTACAGCGCAGAAAGGTGGTTACTCCTCGCTATGTCCAAATCCTGACGACCTCCAATCTCCTGAACTGCTGCCAAACTCTTGAACTCACTTTAGCCCAGCTTTTCCGCCCGCACCTACAGAGACTCAGGGCTTTTCAGGATCAGGTGACCAATGCCTCTCTCATCACTAACTGCAGTGGTCCAATTTCATCCTTCCCGTCCCCAGCGTTTCATATCGTTGATCGCGAGATCTAAAATGCACCCCTCGTCTGGCTGCCTGGCTCCTTAGTCCCCGACCCTTGTGCCCCCTTAGTCTTCTCCGCCAAATAGGCCTCCCGTGACCCTAGGAACTGAGGGGGAACAGGGTTAAGGAAAGCAGGGCTTACACGGCTGGGAGTAGGATCGGGTAGCGGAGGTGACGGAAGCTGCTGCCGAAGCGAAGAGAAGTTCATACGGGAGGTCCCGTCTGGCGTGGGGAAGCGAGAGGTCCCCAACAGGTCGAAAGAATTCGCCGCGGACCTCTCCTTGGCCCATGTGTCTCGGGGCAATCGACTCCAGAGAGTAATGGCTTCCGCTTCAAGGCCGCCTTCCAAATCTCGCGGGACTTCATTGGCTGCGTCTAATACGAAGGCAGGGACGAAGAGGATGCTGGGAAGTGTAGTTTTGAAGCTTGGATTGGCATGGCGGCCGTGACCATGTGAAATCTGACAGTCCAGCGTATTTCTTCAATTTCTGCTTGTTCGAGTGTCCCAGGACTCCGTCCTCAGCGTTCTACTCGTTTTATAATCATTTACTTTGAGTTAGCAGCGAATCTCATCTCTTTAAGTACTATCTGTACACTCAAAACTCAAATTTTCAGCCACAACCCACAGCATTTTGTAGCCATCATAGTGGTAAAGATTGAACCAGGCAAGAATTGTCATCCACTTGACATAACTAGGGGACATTTGCATGACAAGCAGAATATTTGTATTGCCTTAAATGTCTCTCTATAAACTGCTCATATGTTGGAATGGAGAAAAAGTTCATAGAAACTGTGCAGCGAAGAAATTGGACAACATCTGGACCAGGTGATCAAGAGTCAGATGGAGACCACGTGCCTCTGAATGACACCTTAGGAAGGGCGTAACATTACTATCACCTGTGTGGTGTTCATATACATATCTGCTATTTTGTATTTTTTGACCCACATCTCCCCATTTCCTTCCCCAACCCTCATGCCTGTGATAACGGTGGTCTCATTCTTTATTTCTGTGCATTTGAGCTCTCTTTCGATTAAAAAAAATTTCTCATGTAAGTGACATCATGCAATATTTTTCTTTTTGTGTTTGGCTTATTTCACTTAGTATAATGTCCTCCAGGTCCACCCATATCGTGGTAAATGCCAGGATCTCCTTCTATTTCAAGGCTGAATAATATTCCATTATATATTACATGTTATGTTCTATACAATGGAATATATATTATATCATATTATATTATAACTATGTATTGATAATGTACATTATATAATATATGCCAACATGATATATAATATGTAATATCATATAGTACAAAATATATGTATGTTATATATGTTATGGAATATATATTACATATTATATACATTATTTTAACAGGAGGAGTCTGCATATACAAAATTCCGGAATCAGGCTGGGCACAGTGGCTCCCACCTGCAATCCCATTACTTTAGGAAACCAGCGCTTTCCATGTAACCAGTTGGGGCAGAATTATGTAGGCAGGAGAAACAGATGGTTAGAATTATCCAGGGCAGGTATATATGCCACGGTCCATTCCCTCAATAATATATTTTCCAAAACCTCAAATTGTATATCCATATATATTCTATACATATATTTTATGTAGGAAAATAAAATATATGTATGTAGGAAATATATTTTATGTAGGAAAATATATGTATGGAATATAGATGGTTATAAAATATGCTTACATAATATATATAATCTGTATTTCATATTACATAATATATTTCATAATATATAATGTATACTCCATAATATATAACATATAAACATATGTAATAATACATATGTAATAGTACACAATATGTATATTATATAGTTTATGACATACATATATTACATATAATATGTTACACTATATATATTACATATAATGGGAATATCTATTATATATGCAACATATAATAATATAAATATGTTAATCATATTTAATATTTAATACGATATAATACTAAACAGTATATGATGTTAATATTGACATCACAAGAGGACAAAATGGGAAAAAGCCTCTTCCATAAATGCTGCTGGGAAAACTAAATTTCCACATACAAAAGAATGAAATTTCACTCTTATCTTACTCCATGCACAAATATCAACTCAAAATGGATAAAAGACCTAAATGTAAGACCTGAACCCATAAAATTCCTAGAAGATAACACCGGGGGAAAGTTCCTCAATTTTGGTCTTAGCAAAGATTTTTTTAATATATATTACACCAAAAGATTAGATTACAAAAGCAAAAATTAGTGAATAAATGGGACAACATCAAACTAAAAAGCTTCTTCATAGCAAAGGAAACAATCAAAAGAATGAATCGGCAACCCATGGACTGGGAAAAAAATATTTGCAAACCACATATCTGAAAAGGGGTTAATATGCAAAATTTATAAAGAATTCTTTCAATAGCAGAAAAACAAATAACCTGATTTTAAAATGGGTAAAGGGTCTGAACAGACGTTTCTCCAAAGAGAGCATAAAAAACGCCAACAGGTATAGGAAAACGTGCTCTACATCACTAATCATCAGGGAAATGCAAATTAAAACTACTATGAGATATCACCTCGTATCCTTAAATAGAGCTATTATCAAAAAGTTAGGAGATGAATGTTGGGGACAGGGTGGAGTGCAATGGTGCGATACCGGCTCACAGCAACCTCCGCCTCCCTCCAAGAATTGTTTTAACTCCCAGGTTCAAACAATTCTCCTGTCTCGGCCTCGCAAGTAGCTGGAATTACAGACACGGGGCCTGTAATTAGCCACTACACCTGGCTAGTTTTGTAATTTTAGTAGAGGCAGGATATCACCATGTTGGTCAGGCTAATCTCAAGCTCCTGACCTTAAGTGATCCACCCGCCTCGGCCGTTTTGATTCTTAACAGGCGCAATTGTGCCACCTGGGGGTATCTGGCAATGTCTGGAGACACTTTTGTTTTTACCACTACCCGGGTAGTGCCATCTAGTGGTTAGAATATAGAATGCCCTACTCCCTCTAACAAAGAAATGTCAGACCCTGAATGTCGGTCGCGCCAAGGATGAGAAATCCTGGCATAGAAAAGTAAGAGATACTGGCTTTAGATAAGAAGGCAGATATCTCATGGTTGCAGAGTGAAAGAAGAAAGAAACCGTAACGTTGTTGTTGGACCGTTTTGTACTAGTGCCAAGAAAGTGAGAAATCTCTCGAACCTAAGATAAGAGAAAAAATAGAGAAATCTTTCTAATTGCTGTTACTATTACTCTCTGCAGTAAGTTGTAAAATCATTTGTTATTAAGTGGGGAAGTTGAAGCCAGGCGCGGTGGCTCATGCCTGTAATCCCAGTGCTCTGAGAGGCTGAGGTAGGTGGATCACCTGAGGTCAGGAGTTTGAGACCAGCCTGAAAAAGATGGTGAAACCTCGTCTCTACTAAAAATACAAAAATTAGCCATGCTTGGGGGCGGGTGCCTGTAATCCCAGCTACTAGAGAAGCTGAGGCAGGAGAATTGCTTGGACACGGGAGGCGGAGGTTGCAGTGAGCCGAGATTGCACCATTGCACTCCAGCCTGCGTAACAAGAGCGAAACTCCGTCTCAGTAAATAAAGAAAGAAAGAGGGAAGTGGAGACGGTGTGAATTTAAAATCCTGGAGAAACTGAAAAGATCTTTGCCCATTGGAAATTTCCTGTAGTGTTGAAGGCCCATTTAGAGTAGGTGACCTCAAATTTTTAGTGATTCCCGTATCACCACATGGGGGCAGAATTATGTAGGCAAGAGAGAAAGATGTTAGAATTTTCTAGAGCAAGTGGATTTGAGGTTTTGGAAAATACGTGATTGGAGGGATGGACCATGGTATGTCAGTCACCTAAAGAAATGAGGTTATCAGCAACAACATAGTTGAAGAATAGAGGGCTTGGGGGTCTCTACGAATGAGGAGAGGAGATGCTGTAAAGCCGAAAGGGCTAAGAAGTTGGGGCCGGCGCAGTGGCTCATGCCTGTAATCCCAGCACTTTTGGAGGTGGCCGAATCACTTGAGATCAGGAGTTCGAGACCAGCCTGGCTAACATGGTGAAACCCCGTCTCTACTAAAAATACAAAAATTAGCCGGATGTGGTGGTGCACGCCTGTAATCCCAGCTACTCAGGGAGGCTGAGGCAGGAGAATCACTTGAACCCGGGAGGTAGAAGTTGCAGTGAGCCGAGATTGCACCACTGCACACCAGCCTGGGTGACAGAGCAAAACTCTGTCTCAAAAATAAAATAAATAAAAGTATCCTGAATCATGGAAAAGCTGGGAGTCTAAAGATTGGGAGTCAGGTGCCAACGATTTCAATGCATTAGGTCTATGTATTGGTTCCATTTCAGATGAGATGCCAGAGATGTGTCAGGGCAGGATGGGAGTTTTGATAAACCGTGAGCAATGCAGTTTGCTAATGTGGATATACATTAGAGATAGAGAAGGTAAAAAACATTCACCATATTGCTTTGAGGTTATACACGCCATGCAAAATCATGACTCAAGATCAAAAACACCTCGAGTTCAGAAGAAGATACTGGATGTGTCACGATAGAATTACCTTCAGTGCAACAGAGAAGCAGAAAACTTGTGAACTCTCTTGCTCATATGTCTTGATTTTAGGCTGGGCATGGTGGCTAAATGGTGGCTATTCCAGCTACTTAAGAGTCTGAGATGGAAGGATCTAGAGTTTGAGACCAGTCTGGGCAACATAGTGAGCCCCCATTTTTGCACATACACAAAAATAGTGGAATGTGGTGGTGCATGTCTGTAGTCCCAGTTACTTGGGCGGCTGAGGCAGGAGGATTTCTTGAGTCCTGGAATTCAAGGCTGCAGTGAGCTATGATTACACCACTGCACTCTTGCCTGGGCGACACAGCAAGACCCTGTCTCTAAAGCAAAACAAAACAAAAAACTTAACGGGAAAGCAGAGAACATTTGCTCTGAGTTTCCTCACATAGCTTCAGCTTCTCCTATCTTTTGCTTTTCACCTATCATTTCCTACTTACGAAGGATCTTAAAGATTTTTTTTTAAATGAATTTTACTCTGTTACCCAGGCTGGAGTGCAGTGGGACAATCTCCGTTTACTCTAACCTCTCTGCCTCTACCTAATTTCTTTATCAGCTTTCTTAAAGCTGATAAAGAAATGAGAAACTAGATATTAATTAGGAAAATGTTAAATACATTTTAACCCTAATAAAGTGCTTTTAGAGTTATCAGGATTTATATGGGTGGGGAATCCCAACTGATACAATGAGTATGAATACAATGATACTATTGATACTATATATACAATGAATGGCAAGAAGAACCAAAGGCAAGAATTGATACAATGAATATGACTCGTT